CGAGATTCCGTACAATAATTATATTTTTTTATATTAGAACAACGCTACATTAATTCAATTATGACATGTTCAATCTTAACTCTTACAAAATAACGTAACCCAATATCGTGATATCTTTTGCACCTTCTTTAGTTGATTTCTTCATAGATTTGATTGTTAAAATCACAAAAAGAGAAAAATGACTAGTTCACAATCATAGAACGGTAGAAATGACAATAGGGTAAAATAAGAGATTTTGGTAAAACTTAGATCAATTTGATTAAGTTGAACTGGCAGAAAATTAGAAATAGCAAAATCATATTTTGGGTTTGGACTAAATTAATTAATTAGCAAATTTATTTAGAAAAAATAAAATAATTTGACTTATTAAGATAAAAAATTAAAAAAATTAGGGAGATTCAATTTTTATTTTGTTCTTCAGTTCTTCGCCTAGAACCAAAAACTAAACCTAACCCATCAGTTCTCGATTTAGATACATGTTCGAGTATTTAATTTAAGAAGAACCGCTCGATTAGGATCCGGTTCGATCCGATTTGGTTCGACAGTTTTGTTAGCCCTATCAAGATTAGAGATGCTCTTAGGCCTTTGTTTATAATTCAAATATTTGTTTTAAAAATATATTTATTCTAGTCAAAGATTTAGACCAAGAATTTATTCTTGGCACTCCTTTCATTGTTCAATTTTTTTTCAAGCTGATTCAAAATGTCTTGCTACTAATATCTTGGGACAAGGTATATTTTTTGAGTTTACAAATCTTCCATCTAATAAAGATGTGAATGCTTTAAAAGAAGCATCGATTTCAAAAATAATTAATAATATCAATTTCAAAAAGAAACATATTCAATTTTTAAAAGAAGAAATTAGATTTTAAAGAATTGAGGAATGTAATATATTCAAACTACCCCTTGACCGACTTTTAGATACATTTCTATTCTATGATGTAATGTTCTTAAATAGTTTTTTGGTTTGTTTGTGTAATACCCAGACCAGAAAAGTTTAAAAAGATTTGATACGTATTACTCATACCAACAAAGCGCACCTTCTTTTTCGGAAGTCCATCGTTAGAAAATCTACAATTAAGCGTTCTGGCTTGGAGCAATTCTATGATGGGCGACCCTCTGAAAATTTTTCTTGTGGAGCGTGCAAGTGAGAATAAAGCATGCTGAAAAGATCCATATTGGTACAATGGAGACAGTATGTCGTCGATCTAACGATCGGGACAGTCCGTTAAGTGGGACCCGAGTCGTTACAAATGGTGCGAGTGAGGATAAAGCATGCTGAAAAGACCCATGTTGGTACAGTGGGGACAATACGTCGACGATCTAACGGTCGGAATAGCTCGTTAAGTGGGACCCAGGTCATTACAAATGGTATCAGAGCCCGGTTGCCAGCAAAAAATCGGCTAAGTGCTATGCGGGACAAAATGTTACGCCATAGGGCGGGAGCCATCTCTTGAACCCGTAGGAGCCACCTCTAGAATCCCAGCGTATGGCAACAGATCTTCAGATGGATCAAGCGCGATAAGGATATCGTGAGTCTAACGGGAGGTGATTGTAATACACAGACCAGAAAAACTTAAAAAGATTTGATAGGTACTACTCGTACCAACAAGGTGCACCTTCTTTTCCGGAAGTTCATCGTTAAAAACTCTACAATTAAGCGTGCTTGACTTGAAACAATTCTATGATCGGTGACCCTCTGAAAAAAATTTTTGGGGAGCGTGCGAGTGATGATAAATCATACTAAAAAGACACATGTTGGTATAGTGGGGACAGTACGTCGTCGATCTAACGGTCGGGACAGCCCGTTAAGTGGGATTCGGGTCGTTACAGTTTGATTTTGATTTTTGGTTTTAGATTTCTTTAACGCGAGAAGATTCCAAAATTTTGTTGAGGTTAACGTATAGACAACTATTAATCATATACTTTAACCTCAATTTTTTAACAATTTTTGAAGCTTTTCTAAATCAGTACTATGTTACTTATTTCGATATGAACATTAAAATTACTTTCAAAAAGTAACAATTACTCTTTCTTAAACTTAGCCTGGCCAAGTTTTGCCGAAACAAAAAATTTGTACCTTGTACACATGACTATATTTCGGCAAACAGCTCCAGGCTCAAATGGATGATATCCCGATTCTTATTACTGAGCAGTGCATGGAAAATAAGTACGAGGAAGCAGAGGAAATCAGGATCTAATATACAATCAAGAACCAGATGTCAAGTGTGTAATTTTACACATAAATGGGAGAGTAAGTAATATAGCTATAGTTGTGCTGTACTTGAAAAGAGATCAGCATATAGTGAAGTATGAGTATCACTAGTCGAACTTTTTAAAAAAATACTCAATTTTTATCATGGTTATCAACCTCTACTTCTAGCTTTAACTCTGTCTTACATGAAAAGAGATTACCATCTCATTAGTCGACCTTTGGAAAAAAAAAAACCCCAGTTTTATTATGATTATTGTTGGGAATAAAGAACATATGCAGACATCATTAACAGAATTCTAGCAGCTCAAACATGCAATGACAAGTTCAATATTCAAGTTAACATAATTAAAGCAG